TGCATGCAAAAGTACTTAGTATGAGAATTATTTCATGCAAAACTTTTTTTTTTTTGCGTTTTATTTAGCCGCGCATAAATGTATGCCTATCTCTCATTCTGTGTTGTTCAAAAAGCTTGTTGGTCCACAAACAAAAGCGAAACCTATGCTTATTGGTTGTGATATAGTGAGTTTGAACCGATCTGGGCATGGAGGAGGGACAATGCATCAATATATCATGTCTGGTTTGTCCGGAGACACAGTGACGAGCGTTTCTTTGTCAAATTAGCGTTGTCACATTTTGATAACGTAACCGCACTGATTCCGGAGCCTCTGAAGGCCCATTGAGTCCGCGAATGTTATGTGATACAGCACTGGAAAGCTGAGATTCTCTTCTTTATGCCAATCTTTGAATTGTATGAATCGGATCAGCGGATCAAAAGTTATTAAACATTTAAGAGCAATACTTATTTTTAGCCGCGGGCAGCTCTCTCGGTCTTTAAGGGTTAAAACCGTTGATATGCAATTGTTCATGGTATGATAATCGTCCACATTCAAATCGTGGTAAACCGTCATACCGGTATATTGTTACAACCTTACTAAGGACTGTTTGGCGAAATATTTGACTGCATGTCACTGCATATCAAACCGACTGACACGATATAACTAGAGAAATCTGCACTGTGCTGCTGAGTGAGGGAGCGCTTCTCACTGAACAGCGCAGCATTGATGACGTAAGCGTGCCGAGGCCCGATTGTGGTGTGAGTGCGGGCCGATGGGGGAGACGGGAGAGGGGACAAGCGTGCTTTGGCCTGGTTAGAGGCAACTGTACCTAGTGTGAGTACGGCCTAACAAACTGCAATTCATCTAAATTCCACTAGTCCTGGCTCCAAAATAGAGCAGATTTCTAATGAGCCCACTGTTAAAATGGCCGACTTCACAGCAGAAATAAGTTCTTTACAGCCTGCTATAAAAGACGGCTTTGGTGTATATAGCTCATATTTCCCTTCATGACAACTGTGAGGGGGTGAATTTTCTTATAAGTCATTCGTTTTGATAATAATAAGTCTGCCTAATTAAGGGCGTGGGCGTTTGACAGCTAGGTCTCGCTGGTCGCAGTCACGTCACCTCAGCTGATTCCGGCTGATTAGCTGCTGAACTCGGCTTATACATCGCATTTTTCTTTTGTTTTATGTGCCAGTGTGCAGTCATGTGACAAAACCCACATCTCTCATTGGCCAGATGTTATTGAACGTATTTCCTAAACTGCTTATCGATTGGTTAGAATTCACGTGCGGGAAAATGCCAATGAACTCCCGCAAGTGAACAAACCGGGAGAGACTACATTATGACTATGGTGCTACGACTGCGCTGGCTGATTGTATCCCTGCTCTTAGTATACTATATAGTTTGTATACTTCACTTTAGACAAACTATACATTTCGAGAATGAAGCGCGGAGGTGGCTAAAAAATAATGTTTGCAAATGAGCATCGCACGTCACTTCAGGAGGAGGCGGGAAGTGGATAGCGTGTGTCTTTGGACTGTGCAGTCGGAGGAAACCCACACCAACACGGGGAGAACATGCAAACTCCACACAGAAACGCCAACTAACCCAGCCGAGGCTCGAACCAGTGACCTTCTTGCAGTGAGGCGAAAGCACTACCTACTGCGCCACCACACCGCCTATAGGTGAATTGGGTATGCTAAAAACAAATTGACCGTAGTGTGTGTGTGTGTGTGTGTGTGAATGAGTGTGTATGGATGTTTCCCAGTGATGGGTTGCAGCTGGAAGGGTATATGCTATGTAAAACATATGCTGGATAAGTTGGCGGTTCATTCCTTTGTGGCGACCCCAGATTAATAAAGGGACTAAGCCGACAAGAAAATGAATGAATGAATATTTTAATCACAGCAAGAAGGTCGCTGGTTCGAGCCTCGGCTTAGCTGGCGTTTCCGTGTGGAGTTTGCATGTTCTCCCTGCATTCGTACGGTAGGCTAAATTGTCCGTAGTGTGTGAATGTGTGTGTGGATGTTTCCCAGAGATGGGTTGCGGCTGGAAGGGCATCCACTGCATAAAAGCTTGCTGGATAAGTTGGCGGTTCATTCCACTGTGGCGACCCCGGATTAATAAAGGGACTAAGCCGACAAGAGATGAATGAATATAGCGCATGTGTTTGGACTGTGGGGGAAACCGGAGCACCAGGAGGAAACCCACACCAACATGGGGAGAACATGCAAACTCCACACACAAATGCCAACTGGCCCAGCTGGGCGGTTGGTGGTTTATTCCGCTGTGGTAGCCCCGGACTAACAAAGAGACTAAGCCGAAAAGACAATGAATGAATGATGAATGAATGAATGAAGGTTTAAGTAGGGGTTTGGTTTAAAGGTTTTTTGGCTATATTTTGTTGTAGAGTCTGGTGTATCATGGTATATATATATATTTTTTCTTTATTTATTTATTTTTCTTTATTATAATTTGTGATGTAATATTATAGTTTATTTATGTATTTATATATTTTTTGTAATTTGATTTATAATATCAAAGCTATAGACTATATGTGAATGTGTATACGTATTCATGTGTATGTATATGTATATATGAACGATTGTGTATGTATACATATGCATGTATGTATATGTTGGCATATATGCGAGAGGAGATCATGTGATCCGGAAGTGTATAAAAAGGAGCACCTGATTGTGATAAACATTGTCTGATGAAGAGCCGGCGGCTCGAAACGTTACACGCTCTGTGTCAGCCTTTTTAATTTAATAAATTTGTATTTTTGGAGCCTTGGTGTTGCCGCCTTTGATTTACATTCCAGCTGGGACTCAAACCAGCAACCTTCTTGCTCTGAGGCCACAGTGCTAACCACTGAGCCACTCCAAAAAAATGTTAATAATAAATTATTGGCCATCTACATCTGTAGAAAATATTAATTAATATATATTTTTAAATTATATTAATTAATCTGTATGAATGTGGAAGCTGCATCAGACTTTTATTCAAGTAGGATGATCTAATGTTTACTGTACAAAAATTACTTCTAGCTGATGAAATGTGCACATTTTTAAAGTGTGACAGTAGTTACGATTAGCTAACAACTATGCCAAAGTTTCCCAAAAAGTCAAGTTTCCCAACATTCTCATCATTAAAACCACTAAAATACACTTTATCGATGTAAAATGTCAAAAGTAAACAGCGTCGTCAAATGCTAGAGTAATTTTTTTTAGTTGGTGCAAAAATTCAATTGTGACGACATAAAGAGCAAAAGCCTCCTACTTGGCAAAAGGCGGCACGAGTGAAGTAAGTTTCCCTCTTCTTTCCCTCATTCTCATCTTTAAAACCACAAAAACACATTTTATCCATGTAAAATATTAAAACTAAGCAGCATCGTCAAATGCTGAAGTCATTTTTCTAAGTTGATTCAATTGTGACGACGAAATAACGTCACGCTGACAGAGCAAGCTGAAGTATATCTGAGCTATATAAGCTACTAGGTAGGGCTCTAGAGTCTCACTCCTTCACTGATGAGAGTGTTTATTAATATCGGAGTCATTGAAACTGCCAATAAACTGCTCAGTATTTCTGCATTTCCTATTCATTTCAAATTAGCGATCATTTCTGACTAAACAACAACACATCTGTCGCTATTTAGCTTTTCTTTTTTAATCAAGTGCTCATTTTCAGTGATAGTATAGTCACATAAAGCTAACAATTGGCCGAAAAGTCACCAAGTTTCCCTATCAATTCTCATTTTAACACATTTCATAGCTCTAAAAATAACATTAACTAGATGGAAGCGTCAAACGCGCGCACTTCTGAAGCCTTCTACTTAACAAAAGGCGGCACAATAAAGTAAGTTTCCCTCTTTTTCCCTAGTTCTCATTTTTAAAACCAGAAAAACACATTTTATCCATGTAAAATGTTAAAACGAAACAGCAATGTCAAATGCTGAAGTAATTTTTTAAAGATGATTCAACGATTCAATTGTGACGACGAAATGACGTCACGCTGACGGAAGTATACTGAGCTGTATAGGCTACTTAGTGCTTTAGAGTCTCCTTCCCTGATGAGTGTTTATTAATATCTGAATAATTGAAACTCCCAATAAACCGCTCAGTATTTCCTGTTTATTTCAAATTAGCGATCAAACAACAACACGTCTGTCGCTAATTAGCTTTTTTTAATTAAGTGCACATTTCTTAGTGGCTGAAAAGTCATCAAGTTCCACAATAATTCTCATTTTTAACACATTTCAACACTGAAAATTACATAACTAGACAGAAGCGTCAAACGCGCGCACTTCTGAGTGCACTCGAACGCGCGTAAAGAACAAAAGCCTCCTACTTGACAAAATGAAGTAAGTTTGCCTCTTTTTTTTTCCTCATTCTCATCTTTAAAACCCACAAAAACACATTTTATCGATGTAAAATGTCAAAACTAAGCAGCATCGTCAAATGCTGAAGTAATTTTTAAAAGTTGACACGATTCAAATGTGACGACGAAATGACGTCACGCTGACGGAGCGGGCTGAAGTGAGCTGTATAGGCTACTACTTAGGGCTTTAGAGTCTCACTCGTTTACTAATGAGAGAGTGTCTATTAAAATCTAAATAATTGAAACTGCCATTAACTGCTCAGTATTTAGTGTTTATTTAAATGTATCGATCATTTCTGACTAAACAACAACACAGCTGTCGCTATTTAGCTTTTCTTTTTACTCTATGCTTTCAGCTTTTGATGAAACAAGTGCACAATCACATTTTCAGTGAGGAAGTAGTCACATAAAGCTAACAAGTGGCCGAATAGTAACCAAGTTTTCCTATTAATTCACATTTTTAACACATTTCGTTGCTCTAAAAATACACAAAATAGACGGAAGCGTCAAACGCGCGCACTTCTGACGCGCGTAAAGAACAAAAGCCTCCTACTTGACAAAAGGCGGCACAAAGCAAATAAGTTTTCCCTCATTTTTAAACAACTCTAAGGAATTATATGGAGCTCATATTGTACCCTCGATACAGCAGATCCTCCAGAGCCCGGAGTGCGTGAGATCCCCGCGGACTTTCTTGGGCTGCGTCTGCGTCTCGTCCGCGCTCGCGTTGGTCGCGTTACAGATGTACGCGCGTGAATACAGCCAGTAATCGGTCCCGATCGCGATGCTCATCAGACTGAAAGCCACAAAAGCTCCAACGGTGGCCAGCAACATCTGGATCCCTCGCTCACACCACGCCATGTCCACTCATAACAATCATAATCACAATGAAAACATCACCCGGAGCGCCGATAATCCACGCGTCATGATGCGTTCAGGAAACTTGAGCGCGTCTCCTCCACATGTTGCTGTTTATATAGCGAGCGTTTTTTTTGCGTTCGCTTTTTCACGCTCTTCTGGGAGTTTTGCACACCAATGCTTACAGTCAAATCTCTCTTTTGCAAAGTAAAACGCCTTTGAGTTGGGGTTGCGATGTTCAAACCACACCTTCAGCCACAGGAGCCAATGAGAAACACACATGGGCTGAGGAATAAGAGAAGGATGATGCAGATCTTCATCTTCTTCATGATGATGATGATGGGGGTTTCGTGCTTGAATTGCGATGCAGTCTATTAACACATATTGTTGACTATTTTTAAAACAGTTTAAGTTAGATATTAGTAATTATTCCTAAACATAATAATTAATTTCTAATAACTGGTTTCTCTTTGCCATGATGACAGCACATAATATTAGACTAGATATTCTTCAAGACACTAGTATTCAGCTTAAAGTGACATGTAAAGGCTTCACTAGGGTAATTAAGGTAAAGTTAGGGTAATTAGGCAAGTCACAACAGTGGTTTGTTCTGGAGACAATCCAACACTAATATTGGTGAAGGGAGCGAATAATATTGACCTTAAAATGGCTTTAAAATAATTACAAACTGCTTTTATTCTAGCCAAAATAAAACAAATAAGACTTTCTCCAGAAGAACAAAATATAGGAAATACTGTGAAAAACTCCTGAATCTGTTCAACATATTTTGGGAAATAATTAACAAAGAATACGGGCGAATGCACACTCACTGGCCACTTTATTTTATTTCGACTTGTTCAGATCATTCTCTGTAAACCCTAGAGATGGTTGTGCGTGAAAATCCCAGTAGATCAGCAGTTTCTGAAATACTCAGAGCAGCTCGTCTGGCACCAGCAACCATGCCATGTTTAAAGTCCCTTAAATCCCCTTTATTCCCCATTCTGATGCTCGCTTTGAACAGCAGCAGATCGTCTTGACCATGTCTACATGCCTAAATGCATTGAGCTGCTGCCATGCGATGTAGACATTTGCACTAACAAGCAGTTGGACAGGTGTACCTAATAAAGTGGCCGGTGAATCTATATTTCCATGAATCATCTTTATGTTGCATGTATAAATATATATTTAGCTTCATATGTGACAGTAGGTCCTTCGTTCATGTTTCATAACAATTAACACTGTTAAATATTACACATGACATGCAATTTGACACGTGCAGAAGCAAGATAAAAAGGTGTGAAAAAGATAATGATGATGGTTTAATTTGGGTTAAAGAAACTGAGACTGGTGAAAAATTATACACCAACCCTAATATTATAATATACTATGATACTAATTATAAACCAACCCACAGTAAAAAACTCTAAGTAAAGTAAAAACACTAGTAAACGTTAAGAAGTAAAAAAAAAAGAAGCATTCATAATACAAAACAGTCAATACAGGGCTTGTCAGATCATTTGCTATAATACATTTTTTACTCTATAGGTTTAAATATATTTTATTTGATATATTTTGCAAAACTTGCATTCAGGATAAATGTATTAAATGAATTATTAGAAAATATATTAATATAAATTACTAATATTTACTAACATTACTGCTAATTGCAATATATATATATATGTAAATATTGTGTGGAGTTTGCATGTTCTCCCTGCGTCGGCATGGGTTTCCATGAATTTTGTGTCTGACTCCATCATGAGCTTGGAGGACTGCATCCATACATCTCTGACATGACTCAAATCACTGATTAATGAAGTCATCTGGAATGGCAAAGAAAGCGCTCCTGCAGGACTCCAAGAGTTCATCAAGACTCCCCCTTCTTCATCATGCTCAATAATGTTCATGTCTGCTGACTGGGCTGGCCAATCCTGGAGCAGCTTGACCTTCTTTGCTTTCAGGAGCTTTGATGTGGAGGCTGAAGTATGAGAAGGAGCGCTATCCTGCTGGAGAATTGTCCCTCTGCTGTGGTTTGTAATGTAACGGGCAGCACAGATGTCTTGATACCTCAGGCTGTTGATGTTGCAGATCCCCCATACTGAATGCAACCCCAAACCATGACTTCTCCTTCACCAAACTTGACTGATTTCTGTGAGAATCTTGTGTCCATGCAGGTTCCAGTTGGTCTTTTGCAGTATTGGTGATGATTGATGCAGTTTAACAGATGATTCAGCAGAGAAATCCAGCTTCTGACACTTTTACAAATAATCAACTAGAAGTCGAGTTATTATTTGTTGCTCTTACAACTGGCATCCACAACAAGAATTTTGTCAGGTAGTATGTATATATATATATATATATATATATATATATATATATATATATATATATATATATATATATATATATATATATATATATAATCTAAAATATTATCAGAAATTATTTAATACATGTAATTAAATTGCAATATTATTAATATTTTATGTTAACTAATCATTAAATACATTTATCATGAATATGAATATGAACATGAATATGTATGCATATATATAAATATATATATATATATATATATATATATATATATATATATATATATATATATACATATATATATATATATACACATATATACACATATATATACATATATATATATACATACATATATACACATATATATATACATACATATATATATACATACATATATACACATATATATATATACATATATATATATATATATATATATATATATATATATACACATACACACACACACACACACATGAACATATAACTGAACTTTTCAAAGGAGCTTTAATATCAGACATGATTTCATCACCCACAGCACAATAATCAGCAGCGCGAGCGCTCTGAAGGATGGATGATGGAGGATTTCATCATCGTCAGAAGTACAGTAGCTGCTGCTTTAAAGAAATATGCAAACATCAAGAGTTTCACCACTGTGCTGGGTCCTTTACTTCTGAAGCGTGCAACCATTAAAACTGTAACACTGAGTTTGAAACACCAGTAAATGACACAGATGCAAAGCACATCCAAAATACTTCTATAATCTAATCAGACTTAACAAACAGAAATAACAAACACTGTACATCTCTCTATATTTCAGCTAAAACACTGCTTTATCTATTCATTCACTCATTTTCATTTCAGCTTAGTCCCTTTACTAATCTGAGGTCGCCACCGCGGAATGAACCGCCAACTTATCCAGCATGTTTTAACGCAGCGGATGCCCTTCCAGCCGCAACCCATCACTGAGAAACATTCATACACACTCATTCACACACACACACACACACACTATAAGGACTGTGGGGGAAACCAGAGCTCCCGGAGGAGAGCTCTAGTTTATTGGGATGACAGCTCTAAAAACACGCCAACATGGGGAGAACATGCAAACTCCACACAGAAATGCCAACTGGCCCAGCCAGGACTCGAACCAGTGACCTTCTTGCTGTGAGGCCACAGTGACGGCCCCATCATAAACATCAAAACTCAATCCCTGACTAGTAATGCGCATTGAAAAAGCATATCTGTGTGTGTGTGTGTGAATGAGTGTTTCCCAGTACTGGGTTGCACCTGCAAGGGCATCTGCTCTGTAAAACATATGCTGGCATAGTTGGCGGTTCATTCCGCTGTGGCGACCTCTGAAATAGACAAAGCCGAATGAAAATGAACGAATGAATACCGCGGTGTTTACTCGATACGTGGCACCACATCAGGGAAGTAACCGATACATGCGTCCGTCCAGCTTTGAAGAAAGTGCTCAAATCAAGCAGATGCTCATCAGGAGACATTAAAAAGCCATTGTTTACGACAAGTACGCTGATAAATCTGGCCTCCTTCAATCTAGTCCTCGGAGCAGAGCCATTATTCAGGCCCTCCTGGGAAAGCGATGTTCCCACAGCAAAGCGTTTCACTCAAAAACTGCTCTGTTGAACATGCTCGATACATCCATTAGTGATACAAGTGTGTGTGAGGGAAGGGATCGTAATGTAGACTGTGTGTGTATGTGTGTGTCTGTGCTGATATTTATAGTCTAATAGGTGTGGGGAAGGTGAAGTACCTAAGAAAATGAGCCTGACCCCCAGATGAGTGTGTGTGTGTGTGTGTGTGTGATCGATGGAGAATCAGGCTGAAGCACTCATTCAGACACACTGATTGGTACCAGCAGATATCGACACTGGACTTCATCAATAGATGTACTCAGCTTGCTGGTGTCCTACATTCAGCTCAACAGAGAATTCATTCATTCATTCATTCATTTTCTTGTCGGCTTAGTCCCTTTATTAATCCGGGGTCGCCACAGCGGAATGAACCGCCAACTTATCCAGCAAGTTTTTACACAGCGGATGCCCTTCCAGCTGCAAACATCCACACACACTACGGACAAGTTAGCCTACCCAATTCACCTGTACCGCATGTCTTTGGACTGTGGGGGAAACCGGAGCACCCGGAGGAAACCCACACGAGGGCAGGGAGAACATGCAAACTCCACACTGAAACGCCAACTGAGCCGAGGTTTGAACCAGCAACCTTCTTGCTGTGAGGCGACAGCACTACCTACTGCGCCACTGCCTCACCCCAACAGAGAATTATATATATTTATACAGCAGTTCTGTCTGGTTCTCGAATCTGATTGGCTGATAGACGTGCGATATTTTGCCGGAAACATCACTCAAGGGCCTCTTCACCCTTCGCCTTTGTGTATTACTCCGCCCACATGCAGCCAGCAACAAGCAGAGACGCTACAGTCTGACAAATATTCCTGCTGTTAGACGACTCAATGTACTAATGAGGCTTTTTTGATGGAGAATGTAGTTGTTTAGATTGTAACTATGCAGTTTATTTGTAAGAATAGTGCCTATTTTAAAATGTTTACAATTTCTGAGAGAGCTCATCGGCGGCCATTAGCCTGCCATAGTGTAGAACAGGGGTTCCCAAACTTTTCAGCGACCCCCCAAAATAACATTGACTCGTGGTTATACTGTAAACATTTAAACGTTGCACACACAAGCATATATAAACATGAGAATATTGACAACACAAAATGCAACAGTCTCTGAACCATAAAATGTTTTTTTAATAGTCTTTTATAAATTTAATTACGTTTTAATATCAATATTAAAGGCTGATGGCCGATTTTTATTCGTATGTTGTTGTTTCTTTAACGCAACTGTCTTCTGTGGGTTGTGAATAAAATATGGTAGTTAAAATAGTTTAATAGAATTTATTTTATATATTATTTATATTTATTTTATTATAGTTTGGACCCTTAAGGCTGATTTATACTTCAAACGCCGACGTATGCTACGGCGCTGACGCATAGCCCTTCGCCCTGGCCGTCGCTGACGTGCACCTCTCAAAAAATGTAACTACACGTCGCAACGACGCGTAGCGTAAGCTCTGTGATTGGTCGGCTTGGTAGCGCTGACGAGTCTGGGCGGGGCCGAGAGCCACGCGAATGGTGCGAGCCTGATGGAGCGATTGTTTACAAGTGTGGAGTCCCGTGAAGGAGCTCCGGATGGAAAGGTTTGTTTTGTGTTTACCTCATAGTTAAAGTTGTTGCACGTCCGCCGGTTCCTGCCTCAAAATGAGCGAGTTTGAGCCACTTGAACATCCCAGAAGTGTTCAGGAAAAGCAAAACAGCAGCGAAGAAACTCGACACAGAGGAACATTTACACCTCACTGCCAACTAGCGTTTCGGAAGTGTTAATGCAGACCATTAGAGACAGTAGCGCAGAAGTATAAATACAAAACTACGCACATTGCATGCGCCGTGAGTTACGCCGGTCACTTAACGCAGAAGTATAAACCAGGCTTTATTGTTGTCCCGCGACCCCCCCAGGGGGTCCCAACCCCTACTTTGAGAACCACTGGTGTAGAAGACCAAAGACGGTTGATGTTTTCTATCCACAAGATGGCGACAGAACCGAATACTAAGCCCTTACAGTTGGAATATTATTCATTCATACATTTTCTTGTCGGCTTAGTCCCTTTATTAATCCGGGGTCGCCACAGCGGAATGAACTACCAACTTATTCAGCAAGTTTTTACACAGCGGATGCCCTTCCAGCCACACACACACAAATACACTACGGACAATTTAACTTACTCAATTCACCTGTACCGCATGTCTTTGGACTGTGGGGGAAACCGGAGCACCCGGAGGAAACCCACGCGAATGCAGGGAGAACATGCAAACTCCACACTGAAACGCCAACTGAGCCGAGGCTCGAACCAGCGACCTTCTTGCTGTGAGGTGACAGCACTACCTACTGCGCCACAGCATGGCCCTACTTAGAAGATTACATTATTAGAAATTAGAAAACCATTATTAAACTGGTAAGTTACCATATCTCCCAACACTCAAGTTTTTCCTGGGAGTATCGTATCCCGTATTTCAGACCAATCTCCCACAACCATCCCGTTTTTATTTCTTCCGAAAAACTCCTGTAATTTCATCCACCCCCCTCTTTGGTACAGTCTGTAAATACCCCCGGGTAGCCAACTTTGGTACAGTACCCAATTGCAGCGGCCGCCCTAAACCAGCTGCATCCTATCCTGCCTCCCCCTCCCCATAACTAAACCCAAAATAAAAAGTAATGAACTTTTAACTTGTATTTAATGTGTACAATGCAAAATAGATCAACTTTATTTGGTAAACAAAGCAAGTCTCTCATACACTGTATCTACTAAAAGACAGAAAATGTTACTTTACAAACTGTTTTGTAAATAAATCATATAAATATTTTATATTAGTTAATAATATCACAAAGATTATTCAAAAACTGAATAAATATGAATTTACACACATTTACACAAGTAAATAAACGGAATCAATGATGGACTGAAAATCTGCGGAATCCTGCACGCATATTCCTTGTGGGCCTAATCTTTAGTAACGAATGCTACAGCATACAGTGATAAAGTGTATTAAATAGAAGTGGATACAGTCTGCTGTGGTGTAATTTTATTACATCATACAGTTGTCAAAGTACAGTATTTACCCTGATAAAAAAACTGCTTAAACCAGCCTAGGCTGGTTGCCTGGTTTTAACTGGTTAACCAGCCTGGTTTTAGAGGGGTTTTGGCCATTTCAGGCTGGTTTACAGCCATTTCTTGCTGGGTAGGCTGGAAAATTACCAGCTAAAACCAGCATGGGTTAAGCTGATCATCTTCATGGCTGACCATCTAAGAACAGGTTGGAAATGACAGGAAATCAGCCTGGAAATGGCCAAAACCCCTCT